ATTTCTCTTACAGAAAAAGAGAACGATAACAATAAACATTTCTAATATATTTCACCATTTATTCTGTTTATTCTAACAAAGTTAACATGTGAAGTTATAGTGATTTTGGTTCATACCATAATTGAATTTCTCTTACTGCTGATCTAATAGTAATTTTAAGAAAATTGTCAGCTACGCCATACAGAAACAGTTTAACTTCAACAGACACTGCAGAACAGGATTTCGATTTTGGTACTACTGGCATTTGGGGCCAGAAAATTCTTTGTTGCCTGGGCAAGGGCTGTCGGATTCATTATAGGATGTGCAGGGAATTCCTGTTTATTTATTAGATGACAGCAGTCCTCCAAGCTGTAACCAAAAATGTCTCTAGATATCCTCATATGTCCTTGGAGGAACAAAATCTCCTCAGTATAGAGAATTGGAGGCCACAGATGAAGAGACAAACTGGCATATACTACAGAAGTTTAGAGTCCAGAGCTAAAACATTAATACATAGGCTCTAAATGCTGATACACAAAGAGTATGTATGGATAGAATATGCGCCTATAGATAAAAAAAAGAATACAAAATCTAAAATGATAAAAAACTATTCGTGCTCTTCAACATGTGAAACTAGTTGGAGCAAGAAGGAAAGGGATGAAAAAACAACACACTTCAAAATGTTGGAAAAGATTGCTAGAAAGAAAGAACATTCTAAAAATACCATGTGCCACTTTTTTTGTGAATGTTCAAGGAAATAAAACCATGGTTATATTTGCTATTTTCCTCTTTTAGACTACCATCTGGCAATCCATACTTCCACTAGAAAAGAATTCTAGCCAACTGGACTAAAATAGTTAATGCACTACCTCATGTGTCAAAAATATGCTAGAGTCTAGAGTTTGCTCAGTCATGCCCCAAAAATGGAAGACACTAACGTCCTTAAAGGACAAAAGCAAGTAACTCACAGCACGTTTACCCAATTGCAAAAGGTCTTTCCTACCTTGGGGGAAAGAGAGCCAAATATAGCAGAAGGAAAAGCACAACAGAAGTACTTTTACACAACAGGTAAACTAATCAAATTCATTTATTAGATATCAACTTTTCTCCAAGATATCTGGCGTTTAAAGGGGTAGGGGAGTCTACTAATCAGATACAGCAGAACATGACTGACTATAATCATTTCCAGAGTCATGGGAATTTGTTAATAATGAGTAAATAATAGAGCAAATAGATCAAATTCTTTTAATACTCCTCAAGAAGGCAATGTTCTGTGAAGGTTTCACATATAACAAACACAAGATATATCACCATAACTGAGTCTATGACTACATCATTAAGTTGCTAAAAGACAAAAAGACACATCCAGACTACCATATCCTTTTAGTTGTCTTTCATTAATCCATGAAGACAGACTATGGACCAAGAGTCTACAGCCACCAATCAATAAACTGTAATTATCATATATAAAGATGACCAGAACACTGTGTATCATTGCATACATACAAACGGCATGTTTTAAGGTCTTTTTTACAAGCATTTGTCAGGATGAGCAGAGAAGACAAGGTAGTTGGCAAGGAATTCCCACCTTAGGGCTGGAGTTCTAATCAAACCATCAGACACCACTGGGTGGAGCAATGCCATGAAGAAGAGTACTAAATGCAATTCCTCTTTTCAATAACAAAAAAGCTAACACACAAAGAAAAGCATTTATAGTCATGTTGTATGACAGTAAGAAGTAAAAATATGGGGTAGATCATTGGTTTGATATCTAAAAAAGAAAAGCAGTCATCAGGACTAGAATTATAGATGATCTCAACCCTAGGAAGGAAGTAGGTAAGAGAGGGAAGAAGAAGAAGGAGAAGAACAATGTGAAACTCTTTCTTGTTCTAGTGAAGAGTACAGATATCAGATAAATCCAGACATTGACAGTAAAAAGGAATTAATTTAACTATGTATATTAAATTTTTAAGATTAACCAGAAAAATAGCTTTGAAAGGGATAACTTTTACTTCCAAACCAGTAGAGAAAAGAAATGACACAGAGAAGGCAACTAATCTAAAAGATAGTAGACTAAGCTGGCTATGGTGGTACACGGCTATCATCTTACCATTCTGAGAGGGTGAAGCAGGAAGACAGCCAATTTGAGATTAGCATGGGCAATTTCGCAATTTAGCAAGACCCATTTCAAAATTTTAAAAATAAATAAATTTTGAAAGGCCTGGAGATATAGCCCAATACAAAGGTCCTGGATTCAATCTCCAGCACTACAGGGGGGCAGGAGGAAGCAGATTATATTCTATAGTATTAGTGGTAACAATAAATATGAATCAATCAAATTCATTATTAAAATAATGAGACTCACACACTGGATTTTTAAAATGTCCACTACTTGTATTTCACAAGATGCATGTTTTTTGTTTTTGTTTTTGGTACTGGAGATCGATCTCGGGTCCTTGCGCTTGCGAGGCAGGCGGCGGCACCACTGAGCTAAACCCCTGGCCTTACATGTTAAGAAGACATTATACTTAAGATAAAAGGACATAGGACAGTGAAATTAAAGAAACGCAAAAAATATGTAAGAAGTCAGTAATTTTAATAAGTAAACAGCAATATTCATGTAAGGCAAATTAGAAATATAAGAAATATAACATCAAATAAAAAGAGTAGAATCTATTGACAAAATATGCAACTAGCTAAACTGTTGGGCACAAAGTATGTATCTGATTAACACAGTTGTAAAATATAAAATGCAAAAACTGATATAAAAAATAAAAAATTACTTTCATAGCCATTGTGTGATCAGACCTTCTCAAAAGTCTAAATTTCAAATAGGAAGAAAAGATGAACATAAAGGGTTTTAATAAACTTGAATATATAAATCTAAATATATAAAGGTGCACATACACACACAACTCCAACATAATATAATCAATAAACAGCTCAAAAATTGACCATGTGTTAAATCATCCCCCCAAAACAATCTCAAAAGCATAAAATACATGAACATATTCTCTGATCATCTTTACTGAAGCATAAGGAGAGTTGATTAAGGAGAGTTGTTTTGCTTAGTTTGGCATCCAATGGGCAAAAATCTAAATGCTAGACTAAGTGAAAGCACAGAGAAATGGGCACTTAAGGCAGCTTCTATTGGGAGTACAAATTTGTGATGTCATTTTACAAAATGATATAAGACTACCAAAATTTCAAACGTGCATATCCTTTGACTCATTAATTGTACCTTTAGAAATCTCTTACTAGAAAACTTACATATGCAAGAATATATAGTTCAATATAAACTATAACAGCAAAAAGTAATAACCCAAGTATCCAGCAATTGAAAAGTAGGTAACTAATTACAGTTTATCCACGTCATAAAATGTCAAGCACTGACACCGAAATCACCAAAACAATCATTTTATTTTTTTAAGTGTAAAAGACATGTGTATCATTCAAATTATATTAAGATGCAAAACAAATAGAAAAAAGAATGGAAAAATATATGATACAATTCATATTTCTGGAGAGGGACATGATAAGAGAACTTTCATATTTTCTTAATGTATATTTCTAAGTATATGAATCTTATGATTTGGGTTGCTTGCATAGCTTTAAAATGCAATTCTTTTTTTTTTTTTTTTTTTTTTTTT